TGTGTCTGTCAAGAATTCCGAGCGCAGAAGATATCTTGATAATCTTTCATTAAAGTTTAATTATTATTCTTACAATATATGATCTCTTATTCGACTTTAAATCATTTCAATTTAAATCTCAAGATCTATGATAATAATAGACACGTATATATGTGTTTTTTAGAGAGCTATTTTCACTAAGCTTATCTATTTCAATTCTGTTGCTGATAGATGATCATATTCGCGTTAGTTGGAACGTATGACCCGCGTACGTTCATCACCTTTATATGGCACAACGTTCAATCACGCGGCACTCTGCTCCTGACAATAAAACACGGATTCTATTTATAATCACGAAACTGGCGAATCGGCAGGTGCTGAGGACGCAGGTGCGCATTTATTCGATTCTGCAGTGAATCGCAATCTGTGGATTTGAATTGCGAGTTATCACTCGGCCGGAGACACATTGTTTAACCGCGTCAAAAAATGACGCGGATAACGCGTTAAGCGCGCGCGATACTGCCAACAAATTCGTTCGGGATTTGGATGAAACACAGTACAAGTCGAACAATGGGATGGCGGCTCTCGCGATCGGTCGATTCAAAGAAATGCACGGGCTCTTTCAAAGGGCCACCAATGCACAAACGGAACGTCAAAATATCAATTATCGAAGCGGCGGAATTAATTACGGGTTGCAATTAATTTGCCAATTAGATCTCGACTGGGATCCATTTAGATGTAATCTGCTTGCTGGCAGCTCATCCTCTTTCCGCGTTCCCTTCACTTTGGCATCTCCCACGCAGCATCCGATGCGAATACACAGAGAGCTGGCATTCGCTCCGAAGCAGTCGACAAATTAGCCGTATTAACGGATACGACCGCGAACGCAGATTTCGCACAGTTTAGCATGCAGTTCTCCGCTTGATACCCATGCGAAGGATTATTCAAGTTAACTCGAGCCAGACACTCGCGAGCGCACCCGTAGCAATTAGAATAACTGAATTATGTAACGAAAATGTCGAGAGAGAGAGAGAGAGAGAGAGAGAGAGAGAGAGAGAGAGAGAGAGAGAGAGAGAGAGAGAGAGAGAGAGAGAGAGAGAGAGAGAGCGCTTGTAGCCGCTTAACCACATCTTCAGCCCGCTTTGACGTCTTCGTGTTCGGTTGATGCAATCATCCGCAATAATATGCGAACGACCAGTTGCGAATTTCAAAATTTATACAATGATAGGCACTTTTCTCCAAAAATTAAAATATCTAAATACTTCAGATTGGGCTTGATGATTAGCGATACTAAAGCATCATTTTTGTTCGAGAAAAAGGATAAAACTTATAGATAAATTTCTCGCGCGAGAGAGATTCGCGAAAATCTATGACCCGTTATATGATCACAATTGGTATTAACTTGCCCAAGGGTAATCAAGTAATGAATACATCGCCGGTAAAGACCATACGTATATAAATCATGCCGGCGGAGAGGATACCGGGACTACAGGGCGAGCCCTTATCTCCAATCAGTACATTGATTGCACGCAGGCGGGTCAAATACCGGCAGCGCCACTCGGCAGCTCGGCAGCCTGGCACGATAGCTTATTCAATTTCCGAAACGGCATTCACCATTCAATTCGGCGGTTATCAGCCTGTGCCCATCCTCTATCTGGATTTTGCCTAGCTTTCTAGAAAGCTTTGCGCGTGTAGTCATCTAGAAGAAGCGGCTCGGTTTATCAACGGATATAAATTGAGATATCAATCAAGATTCTCGGTCCCCTCGTGCGAATTCTCGAGTCCCTCGATCGCGATCGATTATGCGTAAACGTCAAATCGGAATTTTGGGCATCATTCGATCGTACATAAAGCGATCCCGCAAAGATGTTAGAAAGAAAATACTGTAAACTAGAAAGGTGCATCTCTCCGTGTCTCGCTGGTTTTAATAACGCAAAGTTCTACCGCGAACACAATGCGGCATTAACATTCGGCGCATTTGCCACGCGCGTGGCTATCATTCAACATCTACCGTTAGCGAGCACTTTCTCGCAGTGTACATAGATAATCGAGCTTAATTAATTGCTCGTGATGCGCGCTCGGGCTCAGCAAACACATTTACTTATTACCATCCATCTTGAGCGCTACCTCTCAAGGGGATCGATTTTCCAAGTGCACGCGGCTGATGACACAAATTGCCAAAGGGTCGACGCTCGATCGTAATGCGATCGTTAAATAGAGGCGCGGCTTTTTCTCCGTCTCTCTCTACATCTCATTCTTTCTCCTTCTTTCTTCTTTCGACGAAAGCATAATGACGTTTCACTGAAAACGTACTTAATTATCCAGCTTCCTTCAGCGTCCCAAAAAGTATCAAAGTTAATCGCGAACCCAAAACGACTTTTATGCATGAGCTAGTCTGAAACTATCTACCTTCGTCCATCCGTTTTGCATATAATGCGTGCGGCACGTGCAATGTTCCTCTCTGCGCGTGTTAACTTTAATCTAAAATTCCTTTACGAGAGATAACGCGCGTCAACGTATTCAACAAGCGTCGCTGCCAATTAGTACGCAGAAAGCGTCAACTTTCAATTTTAATAACTCTCGCAACGTCCATCCCGTCCCCCCTCGTATTTGACATTTTGATGAACATGTAGAATTTATTTTTTAATAATGTAATACACGTTTCAAAATAACTAAATTAACGTATATATCGAAAATACGACTGGCCTGCGATACCGTGCTCACTACTAATTGACATGGTCCCGCCGCTTTAATTGACTAACTACGATTACCGGACGTAACAACTTGGTTGCGCGATAGTTAATAGTCGGCCGTGTTAATCGCTACGTCCGACCACCGAAGCACGGTCTGTCTGAGCGGAAATCTCATTCACCTGTGATCGTTATTGACTGGTACAGATCCCTCGGGTCGTAAGTGACATTTACACGATGCATTCAGCGTTAAACTCGTCCGGAGAGACAAGGCGGAGAAACGGAGCGTCGTATCTCAGTTCCGGTATCTATACGGAAGCCGGCTACCCCTGACAACAGAGCAACAACAAACGCCTAATGGCCAGTTCTCGACTCAAAGTTTAATTTCCTGACCAGCGGACAGTGCTTAAAGTGACCTTCCCTCTCTCTCTCTCTCTTTAACTCGATCTTCGTCTCCCTCTTCCTCTCTTTCCTCCCTCGCTATCTTGCTTGTCGCGACCGTTTTCTCTCCTTCCGTCCCTCGCGCATGCCGGTCTCGGGAATCGCGACCGGATGTACAGCCGCCGCTATGAAATATTAAAGAGTTAATGGCGACCCTCCACATGGAATCGCGAGTAATTACCGCCTGGCAGTCGCATATCGTCGGATTAATCGATAGTGTGGAGTTTGATCCCTCGAGACGCTGTTAATTGCTTCTATGTTCGAGAGACGTGCAATCTCTCGCGTTTTTCCGTTCCTTCGTGACACGAACGCGATGACGCGTTGAAAATTTTCCTTCTACACCGCGATGTGTATAGACACTGCGATGATACGATTGTGCTATATCGATCTCGAAGAAGAGAACTCCATGAACCCGGAACATCCATGCTCGCTTACGTATTGATGTATATACATCTCGTGTGATGTCTGCGTGATCGTGGCACTGACCCCGACCGTAACGTCATTCCTCTTTATACCCGACATGCATACGCGTAGAAAAAGTTTCGGAATTGTCGATGGATTGCATTTACCCACCGTACATGTGCATCTTTCCCTCGTGATTCTTATGAAAGCGTACGTAATAAAAAAAAAGAAAAAAGTCAGACAGATAATCGCAATCGAAATGAGTCAGGCAGATAATCGCAATTGTATCCTATTGTATATATACATTCACGTTAAAAATCAGATCAGTTTATATATCTTGTCACGTATCATTTTTTTCTTTTTTGCATTCTGATTAATTATATCTGCAAAATTATATGTCTATTCGTTCTATTATAAAATGTATATAAATTATAAAAAAATATATTGATATGCTGTATATTATAAGTGTTCTTTTTTGTTCTTTACTTAAACTATCTATTTTACTGTATGTATATCATCTTTTAATATCATTACCGTAAATATACGAATTATAAATATTCAAAGATGCAATCGTATCACCGACAAACTGTCTGGTAGTCCTCTCTTTGTGGCTAGTGATTTCTCGGAAGAAAATTGGTTAGAGAGAAAGGACATGCAAGGCCAGCAGTAGGATAATGCTACTGTTGGAAACGTCATTCGCGCCAACGGTGACATGGTGGAAGTGAAGGAAAGAGAATGGGCGCATTGTGACGAAGAGTTCAAAACCGTGAGTGAGGTCGATGCAAGAAAGCAGAGTGCGAGGGCAACAGGATGGAAGCTAGGATCGAAGTACGGTCCTGTGTCCCCCGCGTCATGAATCATGCATCCTCATCCCCCAGGAGCGAACTGGAACGCGCTGCGGCGGTGCGACCCGTCCGAGAAATAAACAATGTTATTTGTTCGTTGGGATCCCGACCCATCCACAGCGGTCCAAAGGACCTCTACTAGGACTGTGGCGGAAGGACGAGTGGAGAGTCCCGTGCTTTCGTAACCCACAATCCTGGGATGAGAGCCGTCCAAGCCTCTCTCCTCTTTACTTCGTCCTTCCTCGAGCGAGCGTCTGTCACTCGTTCCATCTCCGTTTTCTCCTGCGCGTTCTACTCGCGAGCCCACGCGTACTGCGACAGCCAGGACTGTCAACGGCAGAGGAAACTCTCGCAACCACTGATGGTGTTTGAACGGGACCGAAGTGACACGAAGGACGAACGCATACATGTCGGACAAATAATACGATACTTCCGCTTTCTCGGCAAACTGTATATTTTTGTCCCCCGCACTAGTTTTAGCGTTCGTCCTCACTTTCGTTCTTCACACCTCATACTTTACTTTCGTTCTGTCAGAGTAAAAGCAGAAAAAATAGAAAGTATATAACTAAATGTAAATATAAGAAATATCGAAGAATTCTATCGTAACATCGACTAATATGTCGCGTCTTCATTTCTGTTTCAGATGAACCGTCCTATTCAAGTGAAGCCAGCGGACAGTGAAAACCGCGGAGGTGAGAACAAGCAATCGATCCAATATATGTCTCGAAATTGGAAAATTATATCGCTAATCGTATTATAATGAAGAAAATTTTCATATTAAAAAATTCTATATTTCATTAAATTTAACTAAGCAATTACTGAAAATAATCGTAACACTTCAAAGCAATTTCAATTTTTCTTCAAAGCTATTTCAATTTTTTTACTATCTACAATATTTCCATTTCTACACCATATAAGCAAAAAGACTCGCGACACTAAAAAATCGAAACTGCACTTTTAGCATTTAAACAATTCATGAATAATAAATTAAATTATTATGCAAACAAACAGAGATTTGATCTATAATGAATCAACTAGAAATTAATTTTATTCTATTCTGTAAACAAATCGTTTATCTGGTAACTATGAAGAAAATAATTTTATTCTGCGCAATATGTACTCGATGCCTTTAACAACATTTTATATCAATCGCATACAAACGTGTACCATGTAATAAACTACAGATAATTCGCTGTAATACTGACTCGCGATAACACGTTCGTCGTATAAAATTCATGCTCGTGCCGGTGGCGCGATAGACTCTACGATAATAAAAAATGTACCATCCATCGAGTCGTGCTGATATTCATCGGCTCATTCGTTCTCTCTTTCTTCTTCTCTCTCTTTCTCTCTCGCTCTCTTCAGAGAGAATTGTCGCGCGCGACTCTTCGCGCTCACATATCTTTTCCGTACACACTATCCCCCTTTGCCGGAGACCAATTTTATTAATTACGTGAAATTTTACAGCTGGCGATGGTACGCGGCCGTCATGTTGACATTCGCTTATCGCCACGGTAGCCGCGGGTCATAAATTTCGCGTCACGGTAGAATAACGGGGTCCGCATATGTATGACGAGACTTTAGATAATCGAGAGACAAATTGTCGATCGACTATCGTTTTTAATGAGTCGCTTGTGTATCGTGCGCGCGCGCGGGCGTGTGTGCCACCTACGCACTCGCTTCGTATATTCCCCCCCGCTTGTGTGACAGTGAACGCGTTGTAATCCCGTCGATCTATCCCATTTCGTCGGTGTTATTATTTGAAAAAAAAACACGCTCTCTCTCCAAACGATGCGACGCGAACGTTATAAAATTATATCTCTTGCAAAAATCTGACGCTTTTTCCGTCTTTCGCTCGCTCGTTCGCTCATTCGCTCGATTCGACCCGATGCGTTAATTTCTATAAAGCACCTCGGCAAATATCGGCTTGTACCATCGGAGCCACGATTTAATTAAAAATATGGTATTTATCTTTGGAGGTGGGTCGTAACCGATCGATACCGTTCCATCCGTTCTACGAGCCGCCATCGTCGAAGCTGCCGGCGTCGCTTCCGATGTAAATAGCAGTAGAGCTCGTCCGGGAATTCCCGAAGGCTAAGAGCCGTTGGGGCCCCCTTCGTTACCATTCGCAAAGTCCTCGCCACATCGGGGACAGCGTTCCCGGCGAGCCGGCAACTACTCCGAAGTCCTTTGGATAGTCCTTCGTTTCGACGAAGGTGACCAGGACTCTGGAGTAAGGAGTGTCCTGAGATAAAGGAAGAGAATGGAGGAAGGGGTACACACATCTAGGAGCGGACAAGAGAGATAAGGAAAGAAAGAGAATGAGAGAGATAGCGAGAGACATACATAGAAACGGGAAGGAAGAGATCGAGGGAGATGCGAAGAGCAGCGTTAGACCGGGATGCGCGGAAGAAGGTACCTACGTGGTACGAGGGCGGCAGAGGGGAGCAGATGAGGGGGATCGTAATTCATATGCTAATCTGGAGGAGATGCCATTGTAATCTCCGGTCGCCTGCCTCCGTGTGGCCCCACAAAGCCTCGGCTTGACGCGGATGCAGGAGTGATCCTGAGCGAGGTGCCGCTGCCGCTTCTGCGGCGCAATATATATCTATGTAGACGCTGTATCCACGTACTCGCAGAGTTCAATCAGGGGGTTACTGAACTTCGGCAACATCGTCGTCGAGCCTCCATCCTCATCGACATCGTCGTATCTATCCTCCGCCACGTACGGTCGTTGCGTACAAGATAGTTTCCACTTTATCTCGCGTCTCTCTCTCTCTCTCCCTCTCTTTTTCTCTCTCTCTCTCTCTCTGGCCCCCCTTTAGTCTACATAGACCTACCTTAACAACTACCTTAACAACTATCCCGACGCGATCTTTATGATCCTTCGCAACTGTTGACATGACCCTCGTCGGGTTATTCAGCGTGAAACAGATGTTAATGACATCATGTAATTCGTTGGGATAACGCTCAGATTATGGCCAATGTTAAGTCGTGTAATTACAAGTCCGATATTGTACGTAATCTACTTTAAGATGTCAAACCCGACACTTATCATTCGAGAAACGTGGATATTTATCGGAGTAAATTATTTTGTAGACAGTAAATCATTATATTTTACTAATCTCGCATATCTCGCGATTTCATTAATAATATTATAATTTTATTATTATTAATTAATAATATCATAATTAATATGTGCAGTATAATCATCTAAGTCACTGCTGAATATCTTTGTACGAGTAATTTTATTTTAAAATCCATGTTTATATAAATTCTTTCTCGTTCACGCGCATAAATAGATTTTAAAAATTTAAATTCAATTTAAAAATAAATATGCAATAGCTTGAGCATTAAGTAGCTACAAGTAGATCGGACATGCCATAATAATTATTTTGTCGATTTTAATTATTATATGAAAATTATCGTGTTTTTAGCCAGAAAAAAATCGATTTTCCTTGAAATATGTCTCTATGAAAGAGTGGGAACAAAGAAAGGAACACGCGCTCCATCACTTAGTATGCATAAAATAGCAATTCAAGATAGCGGTGCCTATAACCACTCCTCACTTTCAGCCATCGAGAACGGTTTCATTGTTTCATTTCAAGGCACTCGTTTCAAGGCCTTTTTTCGCGTTAATGACTAGCCTTTACGCTTGCATTTCGCAGTCCCTGTGCGGTTTAATTACATCATTTTATAGATTCCTTCTACAACGACTAGCAGACAGGCGATGGCTCGGCAAAGTAACATCCTATTAGTGGTACAAAAGATAAATCAGGCTTTAATTGCGAGACGTTGCAGCGCTAAAACGCTCGGAAATGGCGTCCGCAACTTGTTTCATAGTATCGCTTCCTCGTATCGCTTCAAGACTTATACAGATATCGTAAAATATTTGTACAATAAATTAGTCTGGTAAATCAATAAAAACAATCTAAAGAATACTTTAAACCGAATTTCACTCTATTTCGAATTTTCTAACGTTTATACATTTATATATCTGTTATAAACCATTTTCCACGATATTCGGCTCAATCTTACATTTGCAAACGTAACAAGAACTACGCATTTATCCTTTCCGATTCTTATCGCGGTAGAGTATCATCCGAAATACGTTCACTTCGAACGAAAGCTAGTTTCAGCCAGAAGCTCTCACCAGAAGCTAGTTGTACAGAGATCCGAATGAAACCCCTTCTCGAAACATTTTTCACGCACGTCGATGGCAAGACCTCGCGCACGCGATAGTAGCATCGAAGCAGCCGGAATTAAGTTTACAACGAGAACAGATTTGAGAAATGCGTATCTCGCGCGGAAGTTGGCCTGCCGACTCAGGGGTGGCCAAAGTTTCTACGACTGGATAAGGGTGGGTGCCATACCGGAGCTAGTTGAGCAAGTAGATAAGTTTCGATCCCTTGGCGAGCCATCTTTCTCCCACCGCCATCACTCGACCTGCTACTACCTCTTCTTCGTCGTAGATAAACGTATCCCGGAATATCGGGTTGGGAGGCCCACGGAGCCGTCTTCTTCTCGCGTAGCTGCCAAGTTCGGCTCCGCTAACGTGACGTGGACTGGTCCCGTCTTAAATCCATCCGAGAGAAATCCTGGATTATAAGAATCCGTCTCTGTATTTCTTCTTACCGAGTAGAACGACGGATGATGGTACCGACGTCGTAGAAGCAAGCGCGAAGTTACTCGCTGGATTTGTAACTGCAGTTTCATTTTATGAAGCGTCGGATTATTCGCGAAGTTACTTTAGTTTGCGCGGAATACGACGGAGAAACATGAAAATTACAAATGCACTTGTAAAACAACTTGTTTAATGTAATATTTACTTGGAGAGAAATTCTGTAGAAGAGGATTTATTTTTTAATGTCGCCTTTAATTTAATGTTATTGATTGAATTTAATTATGTAATTAAGTTTCTTTTCAATTTTCAATATTATAGATTTCTCTTTCTCATTTTCGAAGTCCTATTATAGTTTGATAGACATCATATTCAATATCGAAAACTTTTTAATATTTATAAAATATCGCTTCATGTCGCTAGTCAGATAATCCAAGGATCGTTGAAAAAAATGTAGTCGACCAAACTAGCCAGAAATTTTGTTTATTAATACGACGTTTCGACCATATGGTTGTGGTCCTTATCAAGTATATACGATGTAATAATAATCAGAAGACAGGCATAGACGCTAATCTTGCAAAACTGCACAAGTCACATTAACAAAAAACGTATTTTTTGTTAGTGTGACTTGTGCAGTTTTGCAAGATTATCGTCTATGCCTGTCTCCTGATTATTATTACATCGTATATACTTGATAAGGACCACAACCATATGGTCGAAACGTCGTATTAATAAACAAAATTTCTGGCTAGTTTGGTCGACTACATTTTTTTCAACGATCCTTGAAAACTTTTTATTTTAGAATTAGAATTTTAATTAGCTTTCTTTTTAATTATTTCTCTTAAAAATTTAATCCCAATTTTAATATTTTGAAAAATATATTAGCAACAAATTACGAAAAAAATCATTCTTTTAAATACGTATCAATTTATTGTTTAAACTTGCGACGTGCATATCGACATGCAATATAATTCAACAATAATTCAACAAAATTTTCATTCGATAGATTCACAGCTACCTAGAAGATTATATTCGTTATCATTAATAAAACGAATGCGGTTTACGAATGTCATCTACGTCGCGTCGTGTCCAACAAAACGCTCGCTTTGTTCTCTCATCGTCCAGCGGGAAGATAATTTCCCGAGAGTTAATTCCTCTTTCGCTTCCGCTCGGAAAGTTGAAGGAAAGAGAACACGAAGGGCGCGTTAACACTTAACTCCGGCGACAAAGGTCCAATTCTTGGTCCCCACGGTATCCCGACGCGACAATAGGAGCGAACTCCCAGCGAAAAGTACCCGGGGCTAAGGACAGACGAGATATTCCCCGACGAGGAAAGCGGTGAGGCGCTGATACGCCGAAGGGAACCAAGGCGAGTGTTAGGCGGGGGGCGAGGATTGCCAAGAGGGAGGGACAGGGAGGAAGAATCTGCGGAAAGCGGGGATGCAACGAGGCTGCAAGTCAGGCGAGAATCTAATTTCCCGAGACAAATCCTTAAATGTGCCTCAGAGCCCGACTATAAGGCGCGAGTCGAGGCATCTCTCGGAATGAGCTCGCGTCTAGCATCCGCGACAACGACCTTTAACTCGACTCGCCAATTTTGCGTCTCCAGAACCTCCTCTCCTCTCCTCGCGAAACGCGTCATTAAGCTCATTCACGCGGGAAATGCGGTGGATCGAAAACGGAGCGTCGCTGGGAGCGTAGTCGCGATCTAGTAAGCGGAAAAACATAAACTCCATCTGAATATCTTTCGCTCGAATGTCATGTTTATCTGATGCGTTATAAAGTTGTCGTCTCTTACAATTTAATTTGCCGACGATAAAGACGATCGAATGAACACCTACCCAAAGCAATGTGAAATAGATTCGGCTTCATCGATCATCGAGTTTTGCGAGAAATTTGTCAATTAATTAAAATTAACATATTGAATTGTTTGTGGAAATAATCTGAATTTTATCATCTCGAATAGCATAATTCAAGTTCCGCATCTTATTACTGATGTTATTGATGTTTCGCGATAGTTTAATTCCTGCGATTATTATTGCAATTATTAAACTGATTGCATTATGTCACGATTTAGTATTATATGTGGAAATTAGATAATTACAATACCTAATTATATTATTGCAATTAAACTCAAAAATATTCAAGCGTGATATTTAACAATAATGAAATAGAATATCCATCCTAATGAGATTTAATCAAATTATATAAATATAATACGTAAAATATATATCATTCGATAATAACAATACATTATAAAATGAATTGGCAATCTCTGCAGGAAAAACGTTTCCAAGCATCGATTCTCTTGCAAATAATTTTCTTATTTTAGTGAATTATCATAAATTCTTGTTTATAATCTGATAGGTTGTATCGTAATCATCACTCGGAAGATCCATTCAAAGAAATGTCCTGTACCGTACGCGAAAGAAACACACATCGATATGATCCCCAGTTGGGCGAGTCTAAGATCGAATTGAATCTTGCGAGGATTCTTATAGACGACGAATAGTGTATTTTGAGTCCAATGCCATTTCTTTGTTTCTGTTCTGTATTCCAGAGTGCATGATGGACGACGGGAGCGCCAGTGCCATCTTCTGGAAGTAGGAGGCACCGGTGGCGGCCGCTGAAGGTAACTTCGACTTCCAGGAGATAGCTAGCTTCCTTCCAGTACCTCTATTCTTCTTCTCCGCAAATCGGCAGAAAGAGAACTTCCTCCCCCCTTCGATGAAAAGAGATGAAAACAGAATAAATAAGGAAAAAGAAACGGGTCCATTTATACCAAAAGCCCGCTCCTCCCGATCACGCCTGATCACCGCTGATTCAGCCAGCACAGCTCGCCGCAAAGTCCATTTTGCTGCTTGCTAGTGTTTCAATTACCAAACTCCAGCATTCCCTCAGAACCACTATCCCTTAGCCCGACTAGTGCGGTCGATATACATATCCATTTTTTTTAGGAGGAGGCTAAATTTGCACAAAGTGCACGTCCGAATGTGTGTGCTCGTCCAAATTCTCTCGCAAAACGTTTCGAATTGGCTCGAAGTTTTCGACACACACGCGCGATTCATTAGGACTCCTGTATACTGATCATACGCTCAGAATGTAGGAACCGAATGCCCGTGAATCTCTTAATTGGCTCGAACAATTGGCTCCAAAAAGATTGGCTCGTACAACCTCGAAACTGTCAAAAATCTCTTCGCAAAATTCTTGAAATACTCCGAGTTGAAAATTCAATCGTGATGATTCGCTCCTCCGAAACGCGTTTATCTGTGCCGTGAGAATGATTGCTAATGGGCTCCTCTAAATCAGTCTTGCCCTACCCCTGCTCATCCGTTTCTCATCCGGCACGATACGCATCGTTTTACGCATACAGAAGGTATTATAGACAGTGTTGTGCGTACCCACGTGCGTGACTGAAACCTGTAGCCGTAAACCTGTCGTTCGTGTTTTTTTGCTCTGTTTATTGCGCACCGCCGTTACATCACACTATAGAAGCTTCGTTAAGACGAGGCGTGCGTGGGGTGGACGCTCTTGGAATTCTGCAGATTGGCATCTCTCTCGAAAGATGCAGAATACATGAGAGAATCGCGATCTTAGAGCGTCGACCGATCGTACAACAGCAAACGACCCCTTTGCTCTAAAGTGCCGAATATATTGTACGTTTCTAAATCCAAAGTTCCATCGTCTTATTTCCCGAAACCCCGCCCCGTCTGACTTAATATTTATATTCGTGTCGACGACCATCTTGATTATACATATGTTTTATATACATATATATATATATATATATATATATATATATTATATAACATATGTATGATTATATAATAGTGGCTCGTTCGTTGGATGTGTTGTCTCGTTCGTTATCGATGTGTTTTTATCATCTCTGTACATATTTTCTGATTATGATGTGAGCTACATTTATCTTATTGTATTACTTAGATTTGATTCTATATATGACAATTTATGATATATATATCCCCCCATTTTTCTTGACAATTACACACAAATAAATACCCTTTTACCTGCTATATTTAACCGTTCCTAGTTCATTCGAATCCATTTTTCCGTATTTATCCTACTGATTGTGAATCTCGCACAGCCGTAATCATGTTTTCGATATTACGTGGGGATACACATACATATACACGCTAAGACACACCCAATGCAGATATTTCTAAATAAATCTATGCTAATAGTCTATTAAAATTTAATTTGTAACGTAATTAATTTGTGTAATTACTTTACTAGGATAAATATAACTTCTATATTAAAAATACTTTTGGAAGAAAAATTATTAAGAAAAAAAAATCTTTTATCAAATAATTGTAAATACGCTGCATCTATCGAAAAATTGAGGGATTACACGAAAAATTCTTAATCGAAATTAAATATCATAAGCTATACAATTTAATTGTATTTTAAGCTGAAAAAAGATCTCACGTGATTTTTATCCATTATTTCTCGATTCAATTTTCAGCACAAAACTTAGAAATAGCTGCAAAATATAGTATAAGTATTCATTGTTAAACTTTATGTGACGGTGATCCATTTCGAGAATATATATTACACTGCCTGTTCGTGAGACAACTAGAGAGAGATTTAGCGAAATCAGATTTGTGTCTAAGATAATCAGGAGAACATTCGACGCGGATCACCGTCGGGAATATCAGCCAGATTTGGATCGCTTAATATCCCACCTGATTTTATCGCGCGATCCTGTTTCTCATTCGTTTTTTTTCGGCTTTGATATAGGTCGTAGATCAACATTGATTAGATTATTTTTCTCTCTGTTACATTATGATTTCCGTTTCCATTCCCTTTGAAATATTGTTTCCGCTGTTACATATGTATGTTACATTGTTATCGGTTATGATAATTGTTTCCGTTGTTGTTCTCGGTTACTTCTGTCGCACAGAAAAAAAAGACATAGATATAACTCGTACATGCATCACCCATACACACATACACTTGCGCGGTTCCCAGTGCTGTTTAGATGTATACATTGACGTAATGACGGGTGTAACTGTGCGCGTCTCGAAGATACCATACGCGTGCACATACAATATGTTACGTTTTTATATACATATACATATGTTCATATATACATATATATGTACATATAACGATATATATATATATATATATATATATATATATGTACATACCCTAACCTCCTTCCCTTTAGGATGGTGGATGCTGGTGTAACCGTGTAATTTTGTCGTTCTCGGTGTTAGCCGCAAGATCTTCTCTTTAACGCCTATATACGCTTGGCCTGCGCACAGAACTAACTAACGCTGTTGTTTCTTTTTTTTCTCTGTTCCCTCTATTTCACAACGCGCCGTCATCGAACTGCAGACAGAAAGCTGTTCGTTGGTATGCTAAGCAAGCAACAAACTGAAGACGATGTCCGACAGTTATTCACTGCCTTCGGCACAATAGAGGAGTGTACCATTCTCCGTGGACCCGACGGAAGCAGCAGAGGTGAGTATTAATTCGCAGCTTTTTTATATTAATATTTTAATAATTTAATTATATTATTGCACGACAGTAATCATATATATAGACATAATAAATAAATTAGATAAACTTTGTGGATAAACTTTGAGCTCTCTCTTCTTTGATATAAATAATATCGAAATATATGATTTTTTTAAACATCATATATCATCATATATCATCTTTTTATTTTAATTTCGTATTCGTTGACATTTGGAAAGAAAATTAGATAATAGATAATAAAAAATGCGTGACGATCGTAAATATTGCGACTAACAATTCGTTATGTCATAAAAAATTAAAAGATCGCTGAGATAAAGGAATTTAAAAATAGCGTGCTTCAGAGTCTCTAAGGGATTAAGAACGAAAACCATATCCTCTCTAGAGCTAAGTGTACCGTAACGTGGTGCACGTATATTTTTATGTCGTGGGATAAAAGCATAGGCGCATTGTCCATAAAAATACGGGCATCTGTGCAATTTTTAGCCGCAGGGCGGGATATTCGCGTCCCTCTTTATTGCACAATCGTTTTACGTCTTCGCAACGCATTACTTTTTCCACTCGATTTTCGTGCAGTTTTAATCCAAGAAAAATCAAGCTGCGAATAAAACAATCTAACGCAAAATCTTGCAACTTCAACTTCTCGTGAACGCGTAGAAGCGAATTTTATAGTACAGAAATGTACGGGTACTTACTGAATTTTTGAATGATTCCTTAATGTTCAACTTTAAATCGCAGCAAAAATTGGTTAAAATAAGGTTAATTTGCATTAAATAAGAAATCGAGATTAAGTTTTAAAAGCTTTTATATCTTTATCGTAAAAAAATTGCTATTGCTATCTTGATATTTTACTGTAGAAAAATCAATTTTAAGATAGTTTAAGGAAATAAGAAATAGCGCAATCTGAGAGAGACGCGTATATTTTGTACGTCAGTATTTGAGAAAGCCGCGAAATTCATAATCCGCATAATCTTTGAGCATTTTCATCGAACGATTAAGCGAGCAAAGGGACTTCTCCGGGGCACCTAGTTTCCAAAGAAGGTGGAGACGCACGGACTTCGCAAAATTAATCACGAGATGAAGCAGCAAAAGAGAAGGAGAGCGGTTATCTCAAAGAAAAGAAAGCAATTGCCCCGGCCTGGGGCATTACGAGACGGAAAAAAAAGAGATGGAAGCTCGCCGCTCATCTCAACCTTCGGCGATGATGCACGATTAAGCCCAGGCGGAAGGATATAATCGCGACGGCATTTGAATATCCGCTCGCGCTGTAAACAGCGCGGAAAGATAGGTGGATAGGGGTGGCGAGGGATGGATGTAATTCGAGCGAGGATAACTGGTGGAATGGCGGACGAAAAGTGGCTACGGAGCAGTAGTCGGACGAGGCGGCGAGAGCAATAATTTCCGCTGGACGAGACGGCGAAATTTAAATATTTTTATTCAAGAGTGAAGACCTCGCGATGCAAGCAACGAGGAGGTAGCAACGAGCTACGAAGGAAGCGATCGAAGAAAATGGAAAAGCAAGACGTACCAGCGAAAAGGCAGAAAAGAAGGGCGAGAGAAAAGCAGAGGAAAGAGCGAGAGGACGGAAAAGATAGGACAAACCGAAGGACCGGGAGAAATAAGGAAACGGGAGGGCGCGGGTAGGCAGGCGCGAATGTAATTAAATTCCACTTTAAAGTGAAACTCACTTTCAGCAGTTAATAAGATTTTGATTCGCAGTCGGTGACGTAACGCAGCGCGTTCATCGTCTTTGGCAGGTAGGCGCTGTTCGTTCGCGATGATGAAGGTAGTACAGGGAGGGCGGGAGAGGGGGGGGGAGAGCGGCGCCAAGGGTGGCAGTCGCGGAAGGGGAGGCGGCGGAGAGAAGGAACGGAAGTAGTACGCGAGAGAAGAGCTTTACAATGTGCGAAGTCTGTGTTCCTTTGCTTCTAGCAAAGACCAAACCTTTCCCCGCCTTTCCCCGCCTTTCCCGGCCTTCCCCGTCGCGTTGAAGCTCGAGGTTCTTTGTCGAAAGCCCCAGGACGACGATGTTGCGCCAGCTTTCCGAGCTCTTTAATTAAAATTACGCGAGCGCTCGCAGTACGACAGTTTCCAACCGGTAGTCGGTTTATCACGTGGAATGCATTCGCGATTACTCGCCGAGAATCTCAGGTATGTCGCTCCGACGATTACAATATCTTTGACGAAATGAAGCACGCGAGGTCTGAAATGCAATCTCGAGCTTAATCTCCGCCTCGCGAAGTTGACCTTTCGACGTGGGGCACAGTCGATCGAGGACGACCATCGCGAGATTACCGCACATGCGGTTGTTTCCACTTCTCCGAACGAGAGAGCGTTCCAATTCCATCCCCGCACTGGCGCTTAGAGCGCGAATCTTCCACGAGGTAATCCCACCGCAGCCCCGACCGCGACATTCGTCCTTGGACGTTGGTATCAGAACGAAGTTATCCGGCGGGGATGGATGTGCCTGCCGCAGGAAGAGCCTGATCGCTTATTCCGCCGCGGCACATCCCACGGCCCCGGTCTCATCCCGGCAGAAACTTTCCCAACACGCTTCATCACCGCTCGCCGAGCCTCGGTCGAGTTTCATAACTAGCTAATCCGACCCGTAATAGAGAGATCAGGAAGAGCTCCGCAGAACGCGGCCGTATATATACACCTATATATATGTATTATATATATATATATATATATATATATATATATATATATATATACAATATCGCCATGTTGTTGCGAATTTACCACCGACGCGGCACCGAAATTACAGCGGGGAGGATATCATTTCGCTAACTCTTATTCTGGCATCATCCGTCAGTAAAGTACAGGGATCAGTCATGTGTCGGGAGTGTTAACGTACGCGGCAAGAATATCCTGTCGACTCGCGTCAATTTCGTCGTCCATGCGACTCCCCGATGAGTTACGACGCTTAAAAGTTATCGACGAACCCCTCGTTTTTGTCCCCGCTACTCTCGACTTAACTTTTCTTATCATATGTTACCATCTAAGAAAGATTTTTCGGTAATGACGAGCTTAAGAAAGAAAAGCGAATCGTTATCAAAGAGACGCAATATCGGTCATCATTGTCAAAACGACGTATCGCATCGTCTCTCTTTCTCTCTCTCTTATCCATAGTCTTCTCTTAAAACCTCCGTTCTGCCTCCGTGCCGTCTCCCAGGGGAGAGAGGAGAACGACGTCGGAGCTCTTCGTCCAATTATTTTTCCCTCGCTTCGAAACATTTCAACGCCACTTCAACGAACGAACTCGTTCTATTCTCGTTGCCGCGCAACCCTCCGCTCGGAACCACGTCACTTCTTCCCCGGGTTCTCTCTCTCGTCCCCTGTCAGCATTGCACCCCCCCCGGCCTCCTCCTGACTCGCTGGGTGCGCGATCCCAACTTGGGGCAACCCCTCGACACGGACGACGAGTTCGCATTATTTCAATTGCGCGAACGGCAATAATTCACCGCGCGCTAAGAAGATTATAAAATGTTTATGAATAATGGAACGAAGTATTATTCGGGCCCTTTTATCGCACAGGCGTGGGAGTGGTGCGCTCGTCGAGAGTTAGCGCCTTCGCGGAGGTACCTTCTTCGACCGAGTAGCGAACCGAGCCACGTGTATCTTGTCTGTATACGCTACGATTGCGCAACCGGGTGCCGTGAGCGCGATACGATTATTCAAACCGGAGAAACAATTCCGTGCATTAAGTCGTAATAACATTGCGCCGGTATTCCCGATCCTCTTTTGTCGCTGGCACTCGCGAAACGCGGTATGCGGTACTAGAAGACCCGGCCGCGCTAACTATCGGATAGCATTATGTAACATTTAACCCCCTCAGGCAAAGAGAGACGAGTACAATAGATCATGAGTTTGCGAGTTACTGCGCGAACAATGCAATTACCAGAAACATTATATCGTGCGCTTCAGGATCTTACCTTAAGGGATGCGCGCGGATGCTAATTTATTCGGTTTTAACACCAAAGTGCATATTAATATAACATCTGTCATGTTATTGCAAACTTGAAGCTTTCGATGCGCCGCAACAAACGTATTCAATTACAAGTTTTGCACGGGTAAATGAATTTGATGATTTTGATCGACTAGAGTAAAACGGGTAAAATTTCGAAAATCGATAGATCGTCAAATTCTTGGCGTCCATATATTCTCGAAAAAATGATACATTAGTGTTTTCGTTAAGCGCGAGTAGGAAAGTGCATTTTATTAAACGTAAACGAGTTTAAAAGCAGCTCTTTGATTGTTTTCTCAGCACGTTACGTCAGTGCGTTTAATCGTCAGTCAGCACCCTTTAAATTGTCATTTCGATTCGCCGGTTATGTAACGCCAGCAGCGCGGCTGCATCACCAACTCACGTACTCGCGCGAAATCATTTCCGATCATTTTCGATGGAGCCTCGTTTTTGACTGCGCGACGTAAAGAGATTGCAATGGCCGCGTTAACAATATTGCTGACGGGAAATATGACGAATCAATAATTTCCTCAGCCTAGCATTTTATGATGGGGCATTAAACGAGCGATGGTTATCGACGATTAATCGTTCGCCTGTCACTTGCACCGGCGCGTCCGCGCTCGGTATGTATCGTACCTTAATACGCACGCGGACAATTTGCGACCTTTATCTTCGACACGCGCACACGGGGAAAACGCGTACCTCCACCATTATTACAGGCACGGCATATTACGTACACTATCGCGGATTATGTTGGGAAAAATACTATTATTACTGGAATACGCTCTCATTATCGCCAAGCTATAAACTTGTCCGTTCTCATTATCCTCCAGGACCGTGGAGTTATCAAGCGTAAATCCATTAATGATTCCACTTATCGCGATGCAAATTGTAAAGTACAAACATGGCGCTTCCCTATCATAATTTCAATGAGATAAGCTGTCAACGGAGCGAATATTAAATTTCGCGCGTAAAAAAAGAATCGAAAATAGCTAATTATATACGTTTCTGAGAT